CGGCTACACCCAATCAAACCAACAACAAACAAGGGTAGAGAAAAAACAGAGAGAGAGAGAGAGAGAGAGAGAGAAAGAGAGAGTGTTGTGACGGTGAAGGAACGTCGTGCTGCCATGGCTGAAAAATATAATCCCATTGTTGGGCTGGTGAGCTGATCTCATAGAAGATCTGGAAGTCGCGGCTGGGGGTTGGGTCACTGGAGGTCACGGGTTGGGATTGGGGCGAGGTGGGTTGCGTCGTTGGAGGTCTCACAGTTGGGATGAGTGGGTCGGCGATGGAATGATGGTTGTGATGGTGGAGGTAGGCCGAAGGTAATGGTGGAGGTGAGGTAATTGACAGTTGTGAGGATGATGCCTCTCTCATGTTTGATCAAATGCCATAAAAACGCGTGGGATAGAGAAGCAGCTCTCCAAAAGGCGATGGAGGATAAGGGTAAAAAAGTCATTTTAATATATTTGTTCAGAGTGTTAACTGACACAGGAAGGTCAGTGTAATTTCTAAAACATGGGGGAAATATCTGTATTAAAGACATACCTTAAGGAGGTGTAGGTGTAATTTATCTCTTTATTTTTTATGACGAGTCTTAAGGTGTGTTTGGTTTGTATTGTGAGATAATTTTTTAAAAAAAAATTACGGAAAGAGTTTAAAAAAATTTTGATTTGTTTAGTTGTATATTTTGAAAAATAGTTTTGGAGTTTAGAATGATTTGATATTTTGTTATAATTGAGTAGATGTGCGTGAGGAAAAAAATGATTGAAAAGGAGAGTGCAGAGAGAAAAAATGATTAATTGATGATGTGTAGAAGAAAAAATGATTTGAATTTTTTATAAAAAAATTGAATCAACAAATTTAATTTTTTTTTTCAAAAATTATATATAAGATACAAACACAACAAGCCCTTATTGTCTAATATCTGTAACCAAACCATTTTTTTGTTGTTGGTTTTGTGTCCTTAGATTTTATTGTTTATATATTATTGTTACTATTATTTTGGTATTTACCAATTGAATTATTACTATTTGACAAATAGTTTTTATTCACCAAAATAACCCGATTGGTCCTAAAGGTTGTTTTATTGTTCTGATTAGTCTCTATTAATCTTTGGTGTGTTTGATTTTTAGCAGGTTGTCTGTACTCCTGAAGGGGGTAGGTATTGTGGACATGGGTTTGATTTGATTGTGTGGTTGGTAAGGGCTATGTAGGTAATTGTGTAGTAATTATTTTTTAGTAGGTAGTCAGGTAAGTTGAGCCTGGTGAGGTAGCTCTAAAGATGGTAGCAATAATATGTACATGGTTACATGCTTGAATTTATTACTTAAGAATTAAATGAGATGGCAATCCATTGGAATCTTTAGCAAATATAGAAATCCCGCCTCTTGTGGACTGTTGGCGAGAAGTCCTTATTCTCTGTATTAGAAAGCTATTGCCTAGCGCCAAGGAAAATGAGAAAAATTATTCGAGTATGGTGAATTTTTGGGTTCTAGAATTAGTGGCAACGGTAGCAAGTCTGGGTTAGACATTGGGTATCTTGTTGGGTTAATAATTTTTGTTGTCTGCTAAATTATACACACGGCATAATTTGTGCATATAATAAATTGCAACGCAAACACCAAAACAAACGAAGAAAGAAAATTGAGCACTTGGTTTTAGTTTCTGTGAATTGGGAGCTCTGCTATAAGCGTATGTATATGTGATGTTGTAGCGTACTATGGTTGGTGGGTAGTTCAATGTTGGGCTGAGGAGTGGGATTAAGTTATCGGTGCATGGTTCGAGCTAGAAAGGTAACGTAAGCAGTGCTTAAAGTCTCTCTCTCTTAAAAAATTATGGATTTGGTTGGGTGACAATAGGGGTGGATACAGAGGTGGTTGAAGGTGTAGTGGGAGATGGGTGGTATTATGGCGTGAGGTTTGGCGAATTTGCAATGGGATGATCGTTTTTTTCTTTTTAAAAGAAAAAAAAAAAAGAAATTTTAATATTCTTTTTCGGGTGGAGATTGATGGCATGTGCATTATCAACTGTTGATGAAATGATTAAATGACCATTTCAAAAAAAAACAAAATTTATTATATATTTTTGGTAGTCCCATTTGAAGTGCGGTTGGTTAAGAGATGGGTGGGGATTGTTAGAGGAATGTGTGCCAGTGGTTATTGGTGAGGGGTGGCTAGGTGAGAACTAAAGTGGGTGAGGTAAAGGTACAACTGTTTTTGGTGTGTGGTTAGCGTGGATATGGTGCTATGTAGTGGCTTGGCTAAGTGGCATTGGCAATGGGGCATGGTGCAATGGTGCAAGAGAAGTGAGAATGGCTAAATTTAGATGATGGGGCATTGAATTGAAATGGCTGTTGTTTGCTGTTGTTATGTGAGAGGTGCTCTATTAGAAGTGGTTAGTGATGGTATATCATGTGCATATCAACTGTTTGATACATGGGTAAGTATTGTGTTAGATAAATAGGAGAATCTGTTTAAGGTATTTATGGGCATTTTAAGAAAAATTAAATGATGCCATAAGATAAGTAAAATCTGTTAGTTGACTTAACTGTCAACTAACGGAGGGGGGTTTTGTAATGTGGGTATAAACCTCAGGGAGGAGGATGTATTTTCTAGAATCACAAGGGTATTAATGTATTAGCTTGAAACCTCAAAGGTTGTAGGTATTAGTTACCCAAAAATAAATAAATAGTGCTGTTATTGGCACCCCATTAATTATTTTGGCCCTCCTATTTCTTTGGATCCCCACTTGTAAATTGTAAAATCCTTAAAATTTCTTTTTTCCCCCAAAATAATATCAAAATTATCATTGTGAAAACATTCCACGCATTCAAATGAATGCACAACCCACACCCCAAAAAGCATCTCCCAAAAATCCTAACAAAATTCACAAAGGTAATTACTACTTCATCTCCACATACTTGTTCATGACCTAATAAAACAAATGTAGGGTTTTTTTGTTGTTGATTCAAAATTCTCCTTTTGTGGGTTTTACAATTTTCACGAGTTTCGGTTATCTGTTCCCGAACAAATAAAAAATATTTGGTTACTTGTTCCCGAACAAATGTATAATTTTCAGATCTGTGTTCCTGAATTTCGGTCATATGTTCGGGAGTTCAGTTCCGAAAAAATGACGAACAGTTTTTATTATTGTTGCCATTGTTTTAAAAAACTTACCCATATAAGACCAATCTTCATTGAATTAAGAACATCATCAAAGTTATGAATCTCCTCTGAGCTTTTATTATTATATTTTTCTCATCTCATGGAGTTGTGGTTACCAAAAAAACTTCTACTCATTGTCATTGTCAAAGAAGTGTAGGTAATCAGATGATTGCCACCGTTATTGCCGGAATATTGCCACCAAAAGGTTTTCAAGGTTTTAAGGGTGTGTAGGTTTTGAAGGTGAAATTTGGGGAAGATGGATGGGTGGTGATGGAGGTGGGTGCTCTTAGAAACCCTAACTCATTATGTAGTGGGTGTTTAGGCTTAATTGTGAGATGGGGTGGCCCAAAATTATTGATGTCTTTTTTAGTAATTTTATTTGAGATTATTATTGTAATAAAAAAAATAAAGAATAAAAAAACTAAAAAATGAAGGATTCAAAATAATTGATAGGGTGCTAATAGCAGTACTCTAAATAAATAACTAAAGAAGAAGAACAGTTTCACTGGGAAATCTTTTTATAGGTGAGTTTGATCAAATTGTGGCAATACTTCATATGTGAACAATTTACTTGAGAATTTCAAACTAAACCAACTTTTCAACCAGTGGGGCAGTCCACTTCATCTTATAGTTTTTTTATTTAGTTATTTATCGGATTATCTATCTATAAATAATTATCCATGCTCTCAAAGAACTTCGTGCCCTTCATCCCACTATCCAACCAACTGTTCCTCATTGCTTGTAGTTACAAACCAACAATGACAGCCTTAGCAGAGAGGCTTTCCAACCAGTTTGTTTTGTTCCATGTCCTGTTTGTCTTTCTCATGATCCTTGAATTTGTCTCTTTTTTTAATTCTGCAACTTATGCTGCTTCTGGAACTCCTAAAGTTGGAGAAGACGGAGCTGAAGCTGTGGCTCTCTTGACATGGAAAGCTAACCTTGACAACCAGAGCCAACGTCTCTTGTTCTCGTGGGCTGGAAGAAATCATTGCAATTGGGTTGGAATCGATTGCAATAATACTGACAGAGTCACCCATATAGACCTTGAGAGTAAAGGCTTGAGAGGTACACTTTCCAGTTTTAACTTCTCTTCCTTCCCTCATCTCCTCAGCCTTAAACTTCATGACAACTCAATCTACGGGACAATCCCCTCAAAGATTGGTAGCCTTGTAACACTCACCTACCTTGACTTGTCCAACAATTATCTTTCAGGAACAATTCCATCAGAAATAGGAATACTCTGTTCTCTCACAATTTTGTATCTTTATGATAATCAACTTTCTGGATCCATCCCTCATGAAGTTGGAATGTTGAGGTCTCTCATTGAATTCGATTTGTCAAGAAACAATCTCACAGGTTCAATCCCTACTTCTATAGGGAACTTGGCCAACTTGACCATTCTATACCTTTATAAAAACCAACTTTCCGGGTCCATCCCTCAAGAAGTTGGAATGCTAAGGTCTCTCATCAATCTCCAGCTGTCAATAAACAATCTCACAGGTTCAATCCCTACTTCTATAGGGAAAACATGGCCAACTTGACCATTTTATCCCTTTTTGAAAACCGTTTTTTCTGGATCCATCCCTCAAGAAGTTGGAATGCTAAGGTCTCTCATTGAACTTGGTTTGTCAACAAACGATCTCACAGGTCAATCCCTGCTTCTATAGGGAACTTGGCCAACTTGACCATTCTATACCTTTATAAAAACCAACTTTCTGGATCCATCCCCCAAGATGTAGGACTGCTAAGGTCTCTAATTGAACTTGATTTGTCACAAACAATCTCACAGGTTCAATCCCTACTTCTATTGGGAACTTGGCTAACTTGACGCATTCTAAACCTTTATGAAAACCAACTTTCTGGATCCATCCCTCAAGAAGTTGGAATGCTAAGGTCTCTCATTGAACTTGGTTTGTCAACAAACAATCTCACAGGTTCAATCCCTGCTTCTATAGGGAACTTGGCCAACTTGACCATTCTATACCTCTATAAAAACAACTTTCCGGATCCATCCCCAAGATGTTGGAACTGCTAAGGTCTCTAATTAAACTTGATTTGTCAACAAACAGTCTCACAGGTTCAATCCCTGCTTCTATTGGGAACTTGGCCAACTTGACCATTCTAAACCTTTATGAAAACCAACTTTCTGGATCCATCCCTCAAGAAGTTGGAATGCCTAAGGTCTCTCATTGAACTTGTTTTGTCAAGAAACAATCTCATAGGTTCAATCCCTGCTTCTATAGGGAACTTAGCCAACTTGACCAATTTTACCCTTTTTGAAAATGGTCTTTCAGGTTCAATCCCTAACTTCTATAGGGAACTTGCCAACTTGACCATTTTATCCCTTTTGAAAACCGTCTTTCTGGATCCATCCCTCAAGAAGTTGGAATGCTAAGGTCTCTCATTGAACTTGGTTTTGTCAACAAACAATCTCACAGGTTCAATCCCTGCTTCTATAGGGAACTTGGCCAACTTGACCATTCTATACCTTTAAAAAAAACCAACTTTCTGGATCCATCCCCCAAGATGTGGAATGCTAAGGTCTTCTAATTGAACTTGATTTGTCAACAAACAATCTCACAGGTTTCAATCCCTCTTGAGTTAGGAAAACTAAACTCCTAACTTATTTCATTTTGCGTGAGAACAACTACAGGCTCCATTCCTTCAGAAATGGACAATCTTACGCATTTGCAAATCTTTGATATAAGCCTTAACAAGCTCACAGGTCATATACTACAAGTATCTGCCTTGGAGGATCACTTACCAGACTAGTTGCAATCAAACAATTATTTAATCGGTGACATCCTAAAATTCTTGGGAAATTGCAGTCCACTGCGTCGAGTTAGGCTTCGATCGAACCAACTCCTGGAAATATATCTGAAATTTTTGGGGTACTCCCAAACTTGGTATATATCGATCTGAGTTATAAATAACTTATCTATGGTGAACTTTCTAAAAATTGGGGCAGTGCCATAATTTGACAGAGTATTAAAGTTCTCCCAAATAAATCTCCGGAAATATACCACTTGAGTTTGGAGGGTGCAAGTCAGTTTGCAATTACTTGACCCTCTCTTCAAATCATCTAGATGGAGAGATCCCAAAGAGTTTAGGCAAGTTGGCCTTATTGTTCGATATTTTCTCTGAGCGATAACAAACTTTCAGGCAACATTCCATAGAATTTGGCAGGTCTATCTAATTTGGAAGATCTAAACTTGGCGGCAAACAATCTAAGTGGATCAGTTCCAATGCAACTAGGGAAGGCTTGTGAAAACTATTGAACTTGAATTTGAGCAAAAATCTACTCAGGGATATATTCCATATGAAATAGGGAAATTACATTTCTTCAGAGTCTTGACCTTGGAAACAATTGTTGAAAGGTCAGATTCCACCAACAGATTGGGGAATTGCAAAGCTTAGAGACCATTAAATCTATCCCACAAATAAGCTGTCTGGTTCCATTCCATCCTCTTTTATGGGAGATCAAGTTTGAGCATTTGTTGATATATCTTATAACACTTGGAGGGTCCTTTGCCCAACACCAAAAGCCTTTCAAGATGCTCCATTGAGGCATATGTAGGTAATGATGGTTTGTGTGGAAATAAGACCTGGTTTTGATGCATGCTCACAAAAAATAAGCAATGGTGCTAAAGAGAAAAAACATAACAAAGTTTTTCTTTTTGGTCTGGTTCCTGGTTTTTGGGCATTTTATTACTTGTGGTTTGTGGGAGTTTTCTAGTTCTTCGAAAAAGAGTGGGAAACAAAGAAAAATGAGCCTAAAAGAGAAAAAAT